TGGACAGAGTTGGCATCGGGCTTTGTTACAAGGATAGGTCCTGGGTCAGTGTTTTTGTTCAGTGATGTGTGGTTGCTGGTGAGAGTAAAGATGGACTACAAGCTATCAGGAACAGTATCCCCGATAATGTCACAGCTAACCTGGTGTTAATGGACACAAATCTGACATCAGGAAAAAAAAATTTTCTCTTACTTAATTGGCCTCTCAGAGTTGGTAAGACAACTCCCACCTGTTCATGCTCTCTGTATGTGTGTATATATATCTCCTCAATATATGTTCCACTCTATATGCATCTGAAGAAGTGGGCAGTAGCCCACGAAAGCTTATGCTCTAATAAATTTGTTAGTCTCTAAGGTGCCACAAGTACTCCTGTTCTTTTTGCGGACACAGACTAACACGGCTGCTACTCTGAAACCTGGTGCTAGATAAAGTCCACATGTTAAACTCGTGCCCCACATGCTGGCTCAGAAGACAGATATGCTGCTTCCTCAGTCTGGAAGGATATTATTACTGGTTCATCTCCACCTCTGCCTTGATTGCGGCTCCCCTGAATGATCTACTAAAAGGCAGAGACACCAAAAAGGTCTGGTGAGACGACTGATGCGATGAAGCTTTCAACAGTCTGAAGGCGTGGCTGGGCTAGGTGCCTATCCTTGCCAATGCAGACTTCTCCCAATAGTAGTTCATTCACCGGGGGCCAGGCTGGGAGTGGTGCTCTCCCAGGACTTTGAAGGCAAAGAGCACCCAATCCGATATTTAAGCAGAAAGTTGTTTCCCAGGATGAGAACATATTCTGTTATTGAGAAGAAAGCTCTGACTATCAAGTGGACTGTGGATTCCCTGAGGTATTACCTGACCTGCTGGTAGTTCATTTTCCCTAGTCACAGAGCATGCATCCTTGTGATGGCTACATTCTATGAAGGACTCAACCTCCCAGATTATGCAAATACTATTTTGGGACAAGGGACAACACTCAAGCAAGAAACATTTTTGCATTTTTTGCAGCAAAGACATTGACTTAGTTTCAATATCATCTTCAGAACCTCAAACTCTCCTGCACTTTTGCAAGAAACATTCTGGCACTGACAGAGCCATAGATATGATGGTAAATCACCTTTGATTCTCCAACAGTCTTTATTCCCACATGTATAAATATGATCACTCTTTCCTGTTCCTTCAGCAAGTTCATTTTACCCTTATTGGTAGCCAAAAACCATCCAGTTCATCCAGTCAATCTAAGGTTCAGTTGTTATGTAGCATAATGGAGAGCATGAAGTGTGATCAACACATGCTAATATTTTGAAAAGCATAACATGATGCATGCGAATGAAAGTTGTAATTATCCTCACACCACACATATACACAATGCAGGCTATTCCATACATTTATCAGATAATTCACAAAAACTGTAGACAGTAAGTAAATGAACATATCCCTATCCCCCGACTCCCCACTGATATCCTAAACTACTTTTCAACACACTTACGGCAATCATTTTCATCACTATCCTCTCCGCAACTGTCGTCCCCTTTGCATGTCTTTGAACGGTGTTTACACTTCCCATCGCCACAGTTAGACTCCTCTGGACTACAGCCTGAAGAAGCGAGATCTATAAATATCATGGCACTTCCCAGTCACAGCGTCATTCATCCAAGGATCTGAAAACACTCAAGAACACAGTACTCTGAAGTAGGCTAAGATTATCTTGTTTTAGTCCTTTTACAGGAAGCTCTGGAATAAATATGTAAAACATTGACTGTTTCTTGGAAGGTCTGGTTCTTATGCAATATGTATTTTATTTTTGGTAGGTGGAGGGTTATATGGTATTATTGAAGGATATTATTTCAAGGATTATTCCCTCTGTTTGCACTTTTTAGAAAAAGTGTTTTACAGCCCTCTGAGTGCCTTGCTGAAGGACTGTTTTTAAAAACAGAAATTGAATAAGCTTACCACAGTCTAATTCATCACTGCCATCTGAGCAGTCTTTCCATCCATCACATTGGTTGTTTAAAGGAATGCATGTTCTGTCTGTACATTTAAATTGTTTAGGACATGCTAGAAGAAAAAAATATAGAAGTAATGAAAATGGTGTCATGGACCAAATATGCACCGAGGGTGGCAGTACCTCATTATTTTTGTTCTATAAAATTCAACTAAGGCAAATGCGATTTTTTTTAAAAGGTCAGTGATTTTAACAGGTGCTCTGATTTATGTGAATTTAAATTAATGGATTGGAGAATTTAAATCAGTATTAACCTTCTTATCATTGTCATTGAAGATGTGGAGGCCATACAGATTTATTTGCTGTGAGTGCTAATTATGCAGATGTTTAATGATTTAAATATACCAAGAATCTCCAACTGGACAGCAACATTAAGACAGAAACCTGTAGGTTATCATTACTAGAAAGCTTTGTTAGTAACATTAGTGACCTTGCATAATAACTGGAGCATGCCAGCCTCTAGATTCTTAGGGACAAGGTTTAATACAGTTTGCCTGCAAATTTGCTGTCTGTGCCTGGTCAAGTCAGCAGAGACTCTTTTCCCCTCACCTCTGGACCAGACAGGCAGGATCAATCAGGTTGAAGTACAACTCTCTGTTCATTCCACAATTACTATGAGTTAGAGTGTGAAACTGTAGCCTGATTTAGGGTGTACTAATAATATTATTTTGGATAATATGGAAATTTAATTTATTTATCGTGTTTAATTAATTAGTATTAATACAAATTAATTATTAATATTAATAGTATGGGTTTTAGGCTCGCCAATTTGTCTGATTAGAAGATAAGGTTCTTGTCCTAAATCAGGCTCCACGGAATTTACAAGGACCCTCGGGGGTATGACAGGAAGCTCACACTGAGACAGATATAGCCTTAAAGACTTTTTATTAAAATCAATAATAGTAAGTAAATGGTAAAATAATCAGAGTTACAAAGTTACAATTGCATTACTGCTATTCAAAAGATACATATGATAATATAGTATTATATACTACAAAGCTTTGGTTAATATACTCACACCCTTCCCTAATAACCTGGTGGTAAGAGACACAGGAATAGCCTGGCGCTTCAGGTTTCTGGATTCTTGAGTGAGGGATGCAGTGCTTAAAGAAGCTAATGCTAAGAACTATCAAATCTAACTTAGGGTTTACTTGACTAACTAAAACTTAAAATCAAAACCTAATAAACAAAGAATAAAACTTAAGGAAACCGAGCTTAGCCTAGTTCCCTTGAAACAAAGTTTAAGAAGAACAAATATAGTCTACTAATAGTAGTAGTCATCATAGATAGATAGAAGAGAGAGAGAGAGAAAGTAAGTAAGTGAGAATGGAGTACTCTATTGAGGTATGTCACCTCTTTTATAAGGCAAGTGCCAGAAATCCTTCCTCTTATGCCCAAATTTCATTCCTCACCCACAGAAATGTTAGGGTACACTTACTCCATAGGCTAGTATGTATGTATGTACTGATGACAGGTATGTACGCACATCAGTGTCTTGTGGTGTACTTGTTAAGTCTGTGGGTACAACACTGAAAACCCCCCTATGCCATTCTCCATTGTCTATTGATCTAGGTAAAGGTCTTAGACATAGGCGTGGGTATTTATCTATTTAGGCATAGGATAAACAAGATAAAGGTTAACTTTGCTTTCTGGATAAAAGGGCCCAATATAGATATGCTAACTTTGCTTTAGCTTAACATACAGGTTTTTGACCTGTCGGTCTCTTGTATTACAGTCAAACTTACTTTAATATAAATTTATGAACCTCTTACAATAAACCATATATATATATATATAAATAAACTAATATACACACACACGCGCGCACACATATATACACACACACACACACACACACACACGCGCAAGCAGGTTAGTTCCTTTAGGCTAACAAAACGTAGGTCTATGAAGACTAACGGTTTCCCCTT